GTGGTTTGAGGGGAGACCTAGCATGAGGCTGGGGGGCAACCTGTAGGACAAGGTACCACAAGAAGGAAACAAGGTAAGAGAGGAGGAAGAGTCAGAAAAAGAAGAAAAACTAGTTGGTAGAGATGGCCTTGGGTGAATAAATTTGAATATCAAACTTCATTAATACCTTACATGGGAAGTTCAACCACAAATATTTGTCGATTCTTCCTTTTCTGGGCTTTTTATTATTTGCTGTGAAGTTATATCTGGTTTGCTTCATGTTCATTAACACTTAAAGTCTGAGGACTGGATGACTCTTCTAGTAACTGCCAAGTTTGTTCATTTCATGTAGTTATCTTCTCTACATCTCAAAGTAAATTTATTCAGCCAGAGATCCATCAGCTACAAAATCTTTCCCAACAGTGACAATTATTACACATCTCCAGTGAATAGCACCAAGACCACTTTTTGCTTTGTTTTGTTTTTGTTTGGGGGTCACACCTGGTGAAGCTCAGGAATTACTCCTGGTATTGCATGGAAGACCTTTTGGGATGCTCGGGTCTGAACCCAGATCAGTCATGTGCAAGAAACACATCCTCCCCAGTGAGCCTTCTCTCTAGTCCCACCAAGGTCACTCTTGACTCCTCCTTTTCCCTCAATCCTCAATGTCCAATTGAGAATCCAATTTTTTCTATTTTTACTTGCACATACATTTTCTCAACAACTGATATCAAAACTATTTAGACATCCATCACAAACTTTTCTCTTCTACTTCCAGACCATCACATGCTTTGAACAATAACAGCCGGCTCGATATTTTCCTATTTCTTTCCTTACCCTCTTTGTTCAATCTTTTATTTATTTATTTATTTATTTATTGAATCACTATGGGAAAAGTTACAAAGCTTTCAGGTTTAAGTCTCAGTCATGCAATGATCAAACACATTTCCCTTCATCAGTACTTATTTTTCACCACCAAGAACCCCAATATACCCCCCTCCCACCCCTTCCAATGCCTGTGAGGCTGATGAATTCTAATTAACACTATATCTACTTTGATTAGATTCATTGTTTCGACAAAAGATGCACCATTATTGTTTAGAGTTCACAACCCAAAATCAGACCTGCTGAAAAGGTATTGTGAAATAATTTGTTTTCTAGAGCTGGTTACAAGAACCAAATGATGTCATGCGGCCTTCGTTCAATCTTTATGTGGAAATTAAAATCCTTCAATGCATCCAAAATGAACACATTCCTTATAATGGTTTATACATTTGTCCATGACAGGAACTCCATGATCACCTATAGTCTTTCCATTTTTATTTACCCCTAAGCACACAAAGTTACAACTTTGAAAAGTCGCAATCAGTAGAATATATCTGTACTTCTTGCCCTTCTGGACACCCAATGCAGTGATTGTAGAAAAGCCAAGTGCCAAGTTCCAAGAAATGATTTACAGGAGTCTGATCTGGAATAGTACATACTTGATTTATCATGTCACTAAAGAAGGCCATTCAACAGGAAACATTAGAGAGGACTCTCTACTCTAGTTTTCATGGTGCTCACTCAAGATTATTCTTTGAGGTTTTCTACTCTGAGTCCGAATTGACTGATTGCCAAACTCCTTACACTGCAGGAAACATTGGCACGGAGCCCGGACAAAGCACTAAGCAGTTATCCTAAATTCATGATTTACTGTTTCTTCCTTTCTCTGCTTGATAATTCCCACTGTTTCCCTGAATTTAATTTTGTTTTCTTACTTTCTAAATTTTGTCAGCAGAAGAATAATGAAAACAGTATTTCAGACATCACAAATGACTCTCACTTGTGAATTTGAGAATAGGAAATCTTAAGGTGCATTGTTTGAGAAATCTGTTTCTAACTACAGCGGTGGCACCTTCACTTGTTTTCTGAGTTCCTAAATCAGAGTCAGAATGTAACTGCATTCTTTTTCAGTTCACTCTTTCAAATTATTTTACTCATAAAATTAATTCTAGCTAATTAGGAAGGCAGATGTTAAAGATGCAAATTAATTCATTTGGGTCTTTCGCACCTGCCTTTCGAAATGCTAATATACATAAATAAATATATTCAATCTCCTACACCTTAAATATCATCTTCAGCTGCCACTTTGGGTCACTTACCAGTTTGGGTGAGTCATAATTTAATCTGTAATAGCATTTTCGGTGATCATGTCTCTATGATCTAAAAATGAAAGAACTATGTGTATAATTATGTGTGTAACTAAATTTGTGGTAGAATATGTATTTATTTCTTGAGGTTATGGCTTTCAAAGATACTTCTTATATTTTGAGAAAAAAAATAGGAACCTATCCCATAACTTTCTCTGTTCAAACTTGTATCTCTATTGTCTTTTTAAGTTTACTTTTTGAAAAAATGTCTACTTCCTTCTCTTTGTACCTCTCTAATTATACCCTAATCTCTGAATTCAAATGCTTTTATGTTGTGCCTCAAAGAATCTGTGGCTTCCTGAAATTTGATTTTTGCTATCTTCCTTTTTGGTTAGCAACGTATAGAAAAAATACGCTTTGTGTAAAATCAATGACTCAATGCATATTTCCATTTTAAAAAGATAATTTGGGGAGAGGAGAACTTCAACTATTACTCAGAGCCACCAAGATATTTATACATGTATCAAAAAGCATAAAGACGCATTAATCTTGAAAGCAGATTTATACTTTTTACCTGGCTAATCTTTCATAAAACACTGGTTGAAGAGGTATGTCATTATATAGCTAAACCATAATTAATCTTGTAAGGTAATATTACCCAATAAAATATAATAAAAACAGAAAAAACAGGTTGCTATGGATGTTTTCAAAATACAAATAAGTGTTAATAAAAAGCAGGCCTTAATTTTTTTAAGACAACCATGAAAATTTAGCATGGCAGAACTTTTTCTTTTCTATAGAACTTTTTCTTCCTATAGTGACAAAAATTTTAGTGGTAAAAGTCTTTTGTTAACTTATTTTTATCTAGAATCTTTCTTTCTTTCTTTCTTTCTTTCTTTCTTTCTTTCTTTCTTTCTTTCTTTCTTTCTTTCTTTCTTTCTTCTTTCTTGATCACATCTGGCAATGCACAGGGGTTACTCCTGGCTCTGCACTCAGGAATCACTCCTGGCAGCGCTCAGGGGATCATATGGGATGCTGGGAATCGAACCTGGGTCGGCTGCGTGCAAGGCAAATGCCCTATCCGCTGTGCTATCTCTCCAGCCCCCTATCTAGAATTTTTAGTCTAATAAATTGAATCATGTGGTAAAGCAAACTGTGATGGTAGATATACAATTTCTAGATATAGTACAGAGATAGCATCAAATGTATAAGCAAAACAATTAAAACTAATTTTATTATATTAAAGTACACTGTTGCAACAGAAATTATGGTGAAGCTTTTGGAAACCAGATAAAATTACTTAACTTATATGGCAGATATTTCTTTTGATAAGAAATTTTGGAGAAAATATTTTTATATTGCTATCTTGCTAAACTGATGAAGGAGCTTCCTAATTTTATTCAGAATATTTTACAAACCTCTCAGAGCAACTGTTTTGTTTTTATTCTGACAGCTCAAGGTGAACTAAAATAATATCACTGTATAAGTTCTTTCTTCTACTGACTTGGATATTTAAAATTTAGCAGGAAAAAAATCAAACATGAACACACACACATAAAAAATACTCTATTTGGTCCATGTCACATTTGGATGTGAAATCTCACATAAAATTGATGTAGTGCAATTATGGATCATTTTTCTTGATAGAAATCTGACAACTATCAATGCCAAAGGCTATACATACAATATTTCCTATTCTAGGACTTATAATATGAAAATAAACTTAGACATGTGCACATATATGTAGGTTTGCAGATGCATCTTTAAATGTATAATGCTCACTCTACAAATATTCATTATGAAATTAATCCCAATAGTGATCAGATGATTACATATCCATGCAATAAAGCATTGTGCTGCTATTTAAAGTAACTATATTGGATTAAGGATATCATTCAGTTGTAGAAAACAAGTTTCGCCCTGGCATCAAATTAATGATACCATACAGATTCAACTTATATTCATTTTTATGTATTTCTAATTTTGAGAGTAAGATTGTATAACAGCAGTATTCATATTTAAAATGATTAGGGGGCATCTCACAAACTATCTTAGAAGTTATTTTTGGTTTATACAAGTTTTCCTTTATGTGTTTTACAAGTTAAATACTAATTTTATCTAATTTATTTTTAATTATTTTATTTTATAAGGTGGTCCACAATATTTGATTATAGTTAATATTCAAACACCAATCCCACCCCACCATTACACCTTCCCACCACCAAATTTGGGATGTTTTCATTCCAAGCCTCAAGCTCTGTCCCAAAGTACAACAGAAATGATATATTTTGTATTGTCTGTTATGGAAAACCACTGAAAATGCTACAAAAAAGTATCCATACAGGAGCTAGTGTAAAGATTGTTTTATTTTGGCAGGGGCAATTAACACATTCTTTAGAATATCACTAACATGTTGTTAAAGGTTGAGTAATATGAGCTTTTGCATATATATCTGAAACTTTATATATATTTGAATATTTATATCTATATATTTATCTATAGATATATATTTATATATAGATATATATTTCCCTCTGATTTGTTGCCTACAATTTGTATCCCATCAAATGTGCTGTGGTATTAATTTCAGATGAGCCGAGAATGATTCCTACAGAAAAGATGTGACAACAAGCTGATGATAATATTTATGCATCCAGAAATATTTGTGGAAATAAATGCATAAATCCATTTAGTGCACTTACCTTTGTTTTACTTTTGTGGAGGCACACCTGATGATGCTCAGGGGTTACTCCTGGCTCTGTACTCAGGAATCACTTCTGGCCATGCACAGGGAACCATATGGGATGCCACCAACTGCACCCAAGTTGACCATGTGCAAGGCAAGCTCCTAGCCCACTGTACTATCTCCCTGGCCCCTAGTGCACTTACCTTTGGTAAGGAAGCTCGTGATCCTGAACTCTGTGTGGTCATGGTCAGTACAGTGGTTATTCCCAAAGCTACTCTGGCAGGCGCAGCATCCATATTGATCCAGAATGAAACCCAGGACAGAATAACGATCAGGAGACTGGGGATGTACATCTGAATCAGATAGTATCCCATTTGTCGCTCCAGATGGAACCGCACTTCTATACATGTAAACTTTCCTATTTGGTTGTAACATAAATGCAGCAATTAGTAAAAACAGGTATTTCTTTCGCTACAGTAAAGGTCACAATTTTGTTTTAATAATAATGTTACTCTAAACTTTACTACTACAATGAAATGGGGTCCTGAATCATATATGAATTCTGTTTTCTAAGAACAAATTCTTCTTGTTTTTCTGTTTGCATTTAGAAACAATATAATATGATAACCAACCTACTGAGGGACCAGCATATAATCTTATATTTTACATTGTTTAGTGCTTCATACTTGCCAAAATCTTTCAGGATTTATAATTTAACTTTAATAAATTATTAAAATTGCTTTGCCTTTCAGAAAGAACTTATGAGAATCTACTATTTACAGATCTTAACAATTTATCTTGCTCTTAAGGATTTATTAAGAGATAGAAACTATTTTTTCCAGAAGTTTTTCTGTGTACATTAAAATAAATGGTAAAGAATAAATATAAATGAAGATAAGTAGTTCCTTAAATATAATATGCTATTTTATGCATTAATAACTGAAAACTATTGATAGAAACAAAAAGAAAACATGCATTTTCCATAATAACCTTGAACACACTCAAAAACACATTGAAAAAAAACCTGAGATGCATTTTTTCTATGTGCTTTAATCTTTTTAACTCCATTATAAGTGATTATAAGGAAACCAATGATTTCATTAAATACCATATTAACATTTCTGCTATTTCACTCCCTTATCCATTACAATGACATAGATTCTTAAAATAAATTTATCTGAATTACTTAAAATTTAATTTTATGCATGATTATAACTATTTTCAGAAGGATGAAATACAGGAGTAAACCTGCTAATATTTCTCTAAATAACATTCTTTGATCTGCTTATGAAAGAAAAATTCAAAAAACATATTTGGGAAAATTGCTAGCATACATTATCATTAATGTTTTATTAATGTCATTTGAACAAGTTGATCTGATTTATGTTTAATCAATATAAAATATATAAAAACCATATAATTACTTCAATCATGCATAAAACCTGTCAAACATTCAACATATTTTTAAATAAAAACATTCAATAAACCATAAAGAATTTTCTCAAATTGAATAAGAGCACTTTCAAAAATTTATAGTCAACATCATATATAATGATGAAAAATTGAATGTTTTCACACTAAATTCTGGAACAATACATGAATATCTCTTCCTGTCCCTTCAATTGAGTGTTATATTCAGAGGTTTTAACCAGCATACCTGGTTTTTAAAGAGTCAATATTTATATTTATATGTGAAAGTCTCATGACCTTAGACAATACTTTTTATGTTGAAAATCTTAAAGAAGTCATTCAAAACCCACTTGAAAGATTAGTTCGCAAAGTTATAAGATAGACTAACAGTGTATAAAACTTGTGCTTCTATATACTAACAATAAATAATTTTGAGAACAATTTCCTTTACAAGAGAACCATACAGATGAATTGCTTAGAAATAAATTTAACTGTCACTGTCCTCCCATTGTTCATCAATTTGCTCGAGCGGGCCCAGTAACGTCTCCATCGTGAAACTTGTTGTTACTGTGTTTGACATATTGAATACGTCACGGGTAGCTTGTCAGACTTTGCTGTGCGGGCAAGACACTCTCGGTAGTTTGCTGGGCTCTCTGAGAGGGGCGGAGGAATCGAACCCGGCTCAACTGGGCCGACTGCACGCAAGGCAAATGCCCTATCGCTGTGCTATTGCTCCAGCCCAAATTTAACAAATTAGGTAAAATAATGAAATATGAAAAATAATATATATAATATAATAAAAGTGGCTGAAATAAATGGAGTCATTTATATATGTTAATAAGTAAAAATATGGAAGTAAGTAAAAGCTAAATGTGGTTATCATCACATATCATATTACATATCATTCCCATATTAAACTACAAAATCATTGCAATTTCTATTAAAATCAAACTATCTTTTATGCTGAAATTGACAAGCTGATGGAAAAAAATTGGTATGAAAATGCAAAGGACCTAGAATAGCTAAAATTCTCTTGAGAGAAAAAACCGAAAATACAGAATGAAGGTACAGAAATGACAATTTATGGTAATTTGATTTTGTTTTGCTTTCTTTTTGGGTTACACCAAACAGTACTCAGGGCTTACTCATGGCTCTGGGTTCAAAGACCTTCTGTTGGGCTCAGGGGTGGCAGTGTGGAGGGAAGGGCTGGTGGGAGCTAGCACTATAGCACTGTCCTCCCGTTGTTCATCAATTTGCTCAAGCAGGCACCAGTAATGTCTCCATTGTGAGACTTGTTACTGTTTTTGGCATATTGAATACATCATGAGGAGCTTGCCATGCTTTGCCGTGTGGGCAGGATACTCTCAATAGCTTGCAGGGCTCTCTGACAGGGGTGGAGGAATCGAACCTGGGTCAGCCGCATGTAAGGCAAATGCCCTTCCAGGTGGGGGCTAAGCGGGGCATATATGTGGTTTGAGGATTGAACTCAAGTCAGTTGCATGCAACACAAGCATCGTAACCACTGTACTATTTCTCTGCCCTTATTTGACTTTTGACAATGGGTTTAGGTTCTCCAACAGGGAAAGAATGGTGTCTTCAACAGATAATTCAGAGTAATAAATTTCTATCTCTAGTTCCTATAATATTCGAAGTTATTTCAAAATGAACTACAAACCTATAAGTAAGTTTTCATATTATAAAATTTAGAAGAAAACACAGAAGTAAATTTTTGTGACCTGGAATTAGGCAACCATTTCTTAAATATAAAACCCAAATCACAGGTAATTAAAGAAAATAATTATAAGTTACACTAGATTAGAATTGAATGAAACCTTTTGTATTAAATAATACCATTAGGAAAGTAAAGGGTAACCACGAAAAGAAGTCGATGCAAATCAATTATTACAGAGAAGTGACTCAACTAAAAAATAGGCAAAGGAACTGAATAAATATTGAATAAATATAGTTTTCAAAAGAAGTTATGTAAATATAAAAATGCATTTGGAAAGATGCTCGTCATCTTTCACTGGAAATCTCTAATCACATTCATAATGAGGCACAACTTCACATCTCTGTAATGACTATGATAAAAAGAGACATGACTAAGTCTACGGAAAAACTGGAATTTTCATTCAGTGCTAGATTGGGTACAATGCCTTTTGTGCAAATATTGTGAAATAAAATAATTTGGAAGTCTTTAAAATATTACACATAGATTTGATAAAAATTATTGATCCATCTCTGCTGTTAGACATACACTTAATAGATGTGACATATATTAATTTGCATCAATTAATAGATCAATTAATAGATCATAGCAGCTCTGTTTATGCAAAAATGTTGCTAACCTTCAAACATCAATCATCTGGCAAATGAATAAACAAACTATAGAATATTCATGGCATAGAGTATTATACATAAATTATAAAGAAACACTGAAATGTAATAAAGATAAACCTCCAAAGCATTATCTAAGTAAAACAAGCCAGTCACAAAGATACATATGATTTCTCTTACTGGAAATGTACAGACAGCATCACTCTATGAAATAAAAAGTTAATGAATGGATGTTAGATGAAAAAGGCTGTTAATAAAGGTGAGAGTTCCCCCCCAAATGAAAAACATTCCCAAAGTAGATGATAAGGATGACAGCGTAGTACTTTAAATACTCTATAAAATTTAACTATTCTTTAAAAGTCAAGGTTTTAAAATTATATAATACATAAATTATAGTATATAGATGATTTACTAAGGTGTGCTTCACTTAAAAAGATCAATGGGCCCTGAGTATCTATGACCTTACTTGATAAACCTAGGTTGTGTAATTGAAACTTGTTAAGAGTAATATGGAAACCCACCACCTCACTCTACTTTGCAAAGATACAGCAAACACTCTTAATATGTTAGATGATGGATATGTTAATAACTTAATAGGGGAATCTTTTCAAACATATAATTAAACCGAACCATCACATTATGCATTTTAAATGTCTTACAGTTTTATCAGTTATACCCCAATAATATGGGAATAAAAAGAGCCTCTTTGTTCTAAAACAAGGAACTTCCTGTTTACAGAAAATTTGACCTCCTCCCTCTTGTCAAATTCAGGCTGAAATATTTGCATGGGCACAGAAAATTTTTCCCTATCCAAGTCCAATATTTACATTTCTTGCATTCAATAAATATCTACTAGGTACCTATGAACTTCGGCTGAGCCTAAACATCAAAACCACAGAAAAGAATAAACATGGTCCTTGAATCCTTGGCTTTACAAAGTATGGTAATAGAAGAACAAGACTGTGAATAAGTAAAGATATAAATTGAATGTTTAACTTAATACATTGACATCAGAGAGTGGACAGGGTAATATTTGGGTTTTTAATATCTATTTATTATTGAGAATCCTTTGAGGAGCTGGTATTTGCACAGTTCTTAAGGATGTGAGTCTTAGGTCTGGGATAAATACAGGGAGAAGAGGCTTATGAATAAAAGGAATAGAAGTTCAAAGACCCTGAACTAGGAATAGTTGTGGAGAAGAGGGAAGAACTATGGTATGCTCCAAGTAGACAACAGAAAGAGGGTGGAGGGATAAAGGGATTTGAGTACAAAGATACAGAGCACCACCATGTTTGTAGCAGCCCTAGGAAACTACTCTTACCCAACTATAGATTCTGTTCAGTTTTCTCAAATAATTGTCTATCACTGTCACCAACCTCAAGAGTTGAGTAAGAGTGCTGGTTCTTAATGCCTGTCCTTCGTCTTTGCCTTAATGTGGGAACCTGAACTCTTACTACATCAGATACTAGCCTTACCCCTGGCAAAGAATCACGACAGTGGCTAATTCTCCAAATACTGGGAGCTGATTGAGGATATAAAAGAAATCAGAGCCTGGTCAATTGGAAAGTTGGATTCCAGTTCTGGAAAATTCTGAGCTCAAGAGAAAACATAGTTACCATAATGAAATATTACAGCAGCAGCGGATGCTAGAGGGAAGTCATGCAATAACCACAATAGCATGATGCCTCTACTGTGGGTAGTTTAATGGAATTAGTAAGAAGAGCTTATGTCCTTATACTGGTTATTAGAGCATTAGCTTTTGTTGCTTGAGAGAAGGGAATGAACTCAGAAATATAATAGCTCAAAAGTTTCTTTATCCTTTGGTATTGATAACTACATCTAGTGTCTGACTTCAAAGGCAAAAAAGTATACACCCATGTGGACAGTACGTACTTAAATACTCAAAATGCATGAAACTTTGGCCAAACGTTTAGGCAATTGAAGCCTTAAGAAACAAACAACCAAAAAATCCTCAAAATTTTTATTAGTAAACAGTATTTTCAAAGTACATTTTAATAGATGTTAAACTACATTTGTATCACTTGTAGAAAAATTAAAACTACTTCAGGGGGAAACATTACTATGAAACCAAAGATGAGATGTTTACCAAAAAAAAATTGCAAACATAATTGAACACTAAGAATTTCTTTAGCTTCATAAAAACAGAAATGACAATGAGTCCCAGCATTTATTTCCTACTTTCTGATGGAGAATCACGATCATTAGAATATAACTATAAAGGGTCAGAGTGGTAGTACAGCAGGTAGGGCTTTTGCTTTGCATATGGTCAAGCTGGGTTCAATCCCTGAAGCCCATATGGCAGGGAGCCTCCCGGAATGATCCTGGTTTCAGAGTTAGGAATAATCTCTGAGCACTGCTGGGTTGGCCCAAAACATACATATGTGTGTATGTGTGTGTATGTGTGTATACACATCATATATATACATACATATATACACATATATAATAAAACTGTAGTACAGGTAATTACTTTAGCATGGATGAAATGACTGCATGTCACAAATCCACAAAAAAACCTACAAAGAGGTGGCACATAACTTTTCTGTTCTGAAGAACATTCACCCCCTACCTGTGTTGTAATGTTTAGTGCAGTATCGTAAGTCTTTCTCTTCTTTCAATAGAAACTGGGGCAGAGTAAGTCCTTCTGCCACTTGTACAGGAGCCTCATCTTGCCATTCAAAAATGAGGTCATTCATTGTATACCCAACTAGGAAAAGCAAAATAAAATATTAATAGCAGAAGAGAACCGCCAAAGAAATAAAATCATGAAGAGCACATGTAACAGTCTCCTGGCATGAGTAAACCAAATCATCAATGTATTATATTCGCTGAGCTACGGATTGTACAGTTTTCCCTCACAAAAGTCTGCAGAAGTCTGTTCATATGGAATCCTCTTTAATTAATGCTACACCGTGACATGTAGAGACCCAAACAAACATTACTATACATTCTTTCCTGGGACGAACAACTCCTGGAATAGCTCACATGTTCATTTGGTTCTACTTTATTAGATTTCCTTTTCCTTCTCTCAAACTATTCAGAACTCTATTAACAAAAACTGAAGTTGAAATCTGTTAGGAAATGTTCTAAACCATAACATAGCAAGAGTACACTGCCAAGGCTGATTTTTTTAATTTAATCATTATCTCTTTTAATTTATAGCATCTGCTTCTGTGTCTTCATGTCCCCAAATGAAAAAGGTGATAATTTATAGTTTTGCTTTGAATTTTGAGCTGTATTTGGTGGTGCTCAGGGATTACTCCTGGCTCAGGTCAATGAATGAACCTAATGCCCAGCATGCAAGGCTGTGCTCAACCTGTTGTACTATCTCATCCCCAAAGTGATTTATATATAGCCCTTTATTTAGAAAGATATCAACGTTTGTTTACTTTTTTCCTTTTGATTTTTTCTATTCTCTTAAATCCTTTCATCAGTGTATATTTTCTACCACCAATGTCCCCAGTTTCCCACCTGCTACCATCCCCATCACCCACCACCACCCTAGCCTGCCTCTATGGGAGGCACTTCTCTCTGTTTCTGTCTGTCTGTCTGTTTATCTCTCAATCTGGGCCTTATGGTTTGGATATGCTTTTACTTGGGATGGAGCGATAGCACAGCGGGTAGGGCATCTGTCTTACATGCGGTAGACCCGGGTCCAATTTCTCCGCCCTTCTCGGGGAGCCCAGCAAGCTACTGCAAGTATCCCACCTGCAGGGCAATGCCTGACAAGCTACCCCTGACCTATTCAATATGCCAAAAAAAAAAAAAACAGTAACAACAAGTCTCACAATGGCGACATTACTGGTGACTGGTGCCCGCTCGAGCAAATTGATGAACACTACTATATCCGTTTACCTACTTTGAGCACTCAATTGTTATCTGGAATGATCATTTCCAACTATCACTGTCATAGTAGTCCCTTCTCTATCCAAAGTGACCCTCTTTACATATAGGTAGCTTCCAACAGTGGACCAGTCCTCCTGGCCCATGTTTCTACTGGAATATCAAAGTTTAAATGTCAGTAATATATGATAATTCATAAATAAATTAAATGTAATCCTACATAAAAATCAATAAGGCTTAAACTCTAATTTACATAGGAGACAGTAATAGTCACTATGCAAAAAAAGGAAAGCTCATTAAATGGGAAATAGTTACAATGAGAATTCCATCTTACATTTGAGAAAACTTTAAAATTGAACAAACACTGCAAATTAATGTGTCTGATGCAAAAAATTGCTTGAATTCTGCATTTTTATGTTCAAAATATTTTTTGTGATCTTAGTCACACAATCATACCATGCATACACACACAGTTAAAAACATATAGAACCAAAATGTATTGTAAGGAAAAGCTCAGAATAATATATGAATTAAGCCTAAAGCATGTTTTGCGTGTTTCTCAACTTTCTAAGTTTGAATAATTATTTTGAAGATATCTTTCAAATTTGGAACATTATCTTCTCAAAAATTAATTTATCCTTGGGAGCTTAAAAACAGGTGAAAGATTACAAAAGAAAAACAAAGGGTTACCTTTTCACATCCGTATGAATAATATATGAAAGATAAACTTATTCTAAAGGAGAATGTGGACTGAGAAAACATTTAAGTTCCTAATGACTCTTGAGATTTATTAATAAACTATAGATTCCCATTTAGTTTAAAAAGCTAACTAGAAACATCTTTGGCCCAGTTTTCTCAAACAAGAGAGATAGAAATAGAGAGTTTTGGGTTTGACCCAGCTTGCAAATGTTTGTGCTCCTTATCTAACAGCAGGAATTTAAAAAATAGAAGGAAGAAATTGCTCACACTTAGCACATGATTACTGACTATTGCCAGGAGAACTATTACTCAAGTGAATTTTATTGACCTGACAAGGAACACCTGCTATGTCAAAATGTACAAAGTGAAAACATTTTATTATAATTTATGCATTTAATTTGAATAATCTTTTGGTAAACCAAGTTATTTGTTATTTGTGACTTCATTTAAGCTGTAGGCCCACCAAAGTGATCATCTAAGTGAATACATTTTCCTCGAAAACTCTCTAGTAGAACTAACATATAACTTTATTTTGTTTAATTTTCCTTGATTGCTGCTCCACCCCCGGCAGTGCTCAGTGCGTAGTCCCACTTGTGTGGGGGTCTTTCCTGGCAGTGCTTGGGCTGTGAAGGTGCTGGAGACAGAACCCGGGTCGGTCTCCTGGAGGTAAAACATGCTCTCCGGACCCTCCAGCATATTTCTGGCTATAATAAAGTATAAGTAAGAGAGATCATTTCTGTGTCTTCATGGAGCTTGCAAATGGTGGGCAGAGCATGAGATCTGCAATAAAACTCTGTACAGGTAGTGATATGTTTCATTAGGAAAATATGGTTATTTGAGAATTTGAATTTGGTGGGGGAGAGGATGGAGTGGATGCTTGGGCGATGACCCCGGGGTGGGGGTGAAGGTCTTAGACAGTTTCCTGGTGGTAAAATGAGGTTGTGAACTGTACTCTGAGATCCTAAACGTCAGTAATACTATGAACACATTACTTCAACCATAACAAACTTCAGAGAGGAAAAGAAAATGTTGTAATATAAAGGGGTAATAAATGGATGGAGAGTTGAAAGCTAATTAATTATGATAGTCAAAAATATTTTTAAAAATGCAGTGATGGAGAATGAAAAAGCTGCTAATACAGTAAAATTGAGGAGGTTAGAGTGATAATATAGCAGGTCGGTGCTTGCCATGCATATGGCTCACCTGGATATATCCTGCCACCACATATAGTTCCCCAAGCCCAACAGGAATGATGCATGAGCACTGAGATAACCCCTCAGGACCACTGAGTGTGAGTCCAAAATCACCCCAAATTTAAACTGAGAATATATTTAAATCTATTAATACTTAGACTGCATTAAGAATAAAAGGGCTGGGGCTGGTGCAATAGCACAGTGGATAGGGCATTTGCCTCACAGGTAGCCAACCCGGTTCGATTCCCAGCATTCCATATGGTTCCCCAAGTAGCATCAGGAGTAATTTCTGAGCCAGGAGTAAACTCTATGTATCGCTGGATTTGAGCCCAAAACAAAACAAAACAAAAAGAATAAAAGGGCCTAACACCAAATCTTGACAATTTTAGAGTGCTTGAAACTTATAATCATAAGTGCTAACATGTAAAAAATCTTTAGGGGGGCCGGGGGAGGCCCAATGGCTCTTCCTCTGGTTGCCCTGTTCGGGGTGCCTCAGGCCCCTCACCCAGCCGGGGCGGCCAGGGCCATGGGCAGAAGGCAGAGGAAGTGAGGGCCAAGCCGGTTAATTGATTAGTTGCTGTCTATTCCATTCTCCCCACGCGCCTGCCCCAGTCTCTCTGAGCCTCCTATTCTGGTCTCACACTGCTCCTCATTCCCGTCTCCTTCTGTCTCTCCCGCTCATCACTCTGCGCTCCATCTCGCAGCTTGGGCTCTCTCTTCTCTCCACGTGCCTGCTCCTGTATTCTTCTATGTTCTTCTCTCTCTGTCCTCTTTGCTTGCCTCTCCACAGTCCATCTTGCGGCCTTGCTCTCTCCTCCCTCCCCATCTCTCTTGCCTCTCCAACTCCTCTCTCCCACTCCCTTATCTCTCCAGGCTGACACTGCACCCACTGCTGGGTGCCAAATCAAAGTCAGAAAACCCTTCCTGAGGACCTACCAAGTTCAAAGGGAATACCACCTAAAAGGTATTCCAAAGCCCATCTTGAAGGACCAAGGGCAAAATACCTCCTAAGGTGTTTTTCTCCTTTCCTCAGTCCAATAGCTATCAACATATCAATACTGGCTATTTTTGTATGGACACAGTAAGAGATAACATTGAGACTTGTAGGGCAGCTCTCCTGGGAACAACTTGCCACAAATTCGGACTACACAGCTCTCAGGCCAGATTAATCTTTCCTAATGCTAGCAGGGTCCAAATCTAGTTATTACTTTTTGGATCATGACAGCATTTGTCCATGACCAAGCTCTTAACTTATAGTTAAGCATTATGGCTCTTTGGCTAGGCCCATCTCAATGCAATGGTAGCACATAGTTTATCGCTTGCCCTGGTTCCATCCAGTCCCTCTTAAGAAATCTGCTTTTGGGGGTGCTAGGAAGTAAAGGCAGCTGAGGCTTAGGTGAGATAACAGATGCCCAGGAGGAAAATATCACTAAGAGTCACATTACAAAAGCATGTCTTCTTGTCTCCATAGGAAAAGGAGATTGCTCTGAATAGACTATGCAAAGGACTTAGGGAGAAGAGAAAAACAATATTTACACGTCAATAGAGCACAAAGAAAGAAGCTACAAATAAACAGGAATGGGAGCACTGTGATGGGAGAAACCCAATGAACCTAAACTACCTGAGGCTATGCAGGAAGGACAGAACAGTGTTATCCTACACTAACACAGTTGCAAACTTGTGATCAAAACCATAACAATAAAATTTAATTATAATTTTTTAAAAAATTGTAAAATTAGTCTATATTCTGTAGGTGCTGCCAATAAGGGCATAAGAAAAAGCCACAATATTAATATTATGTCATGATCTTATTATCAAGTAAGATAAAGCACAAAAAATGCTCTCAGCAAGTTACTTGATGAATTCTAATATTGTCCTTATGAATAAAGATTTCAAATCAATTCTCAGTGACAATCCTTAAGTGATTTCTCACTGATTGATAAGAAAAGTGCTATACTTTTCAGTAATTAAT